TTCTAGCAATTAACTATCTCCTCTCGGTCTCAAGTCAATCACAAATATGCATAAATATGGGCCCTATATTCACACAACTCATATAATCACAAGAAACTGATAAACGAAAGATAGACCGGAATGAATAAACAAAATTACTTCATAAAATAATCCGAGTACTCGCAAATCCTAGAATCTCAAAGAGATTTAGCTACTAAACATATTCTCAATACTCAAAATTAAATAATTCCATGAGTTCAATGAAGAAGAAAAAGAGAAAAGAAAGAAGAACTATTGTTGCCGTTAGTTCTCGGATCTTCAATCTTGACTTCCTCGAATCCCTCGTGTGTTTTGTGCTTTCTCCAGGCCTCCAATGGTGTCAAAAGTCCCAAAACCGTGTTCTTTATGTTCCTTATATACTGTAGGGCAAATATGGGTTGAAAAAGGGACAAAATCGCGTAGGTTTCCTATTTCTCGCTGGACTGTCTGCGCGTCACACGACTCGTGTCACAGGCCACACGAGTCGTGTGACTTTTCTTCAATTTTCGGCAAAGTACCAGGGCCACACGACCACCCCACACGAGACGTCACACGAGTCGTGTGAGCCCACACGACTCGTGTCATGGGCCACACGACTCGTGTGGGAAAGCCGCACCAAAATGCCACAAAAGCTCGATTTTTCTCACCCCACACGACTCGTGTCACGAACCACACGAGTCGTGTGACATGTCTGCACCTAATTTTCGTCGTTTTTCGTCCCGATTCCATCTTTAACGCTTTTTCGGGCATATTTCCTACAAAACCAACGACAAATATACCTCCATCATAGATTAATAAATCAAACAAAATGGTGCACAATCCCACGATAAACACGGTTAAACATCACACTATATCACTCATAATGCATGAAAATATGATGAATGTCATAGATCCACTAGGGTTTAGACATGTGTTCAGTATATTTCGAGTTTAAAGAAAGATATCATTTCATTAGAATCTTTGGAATCCAAATACTTGGTAGTGACTTTGATAGAAGGAGTTAAAAATGCTACATCCGACTCACTCGTCGTGATGAAAGACATCAGGAGGAATAATTTGTATTACTATGAAGGTGATGCGACTGCTGGGACAACAACACATATATTGTTGGTACATGCTGGGTAAAAATCCTTACAGACATTGGCAAAGTAATTACTGTTGAAAGATGTCAAAGTATGTCAACAAGACTTTTGTGAGCATTGTATATTGAAAAATAGGAAGAGAGTGAAGTTTGGAACAACTATCTATAGTAACGAAGGTATCATGGATTATGTTCATTCGGATGTTTGAGAACCTACTAAGATTCCATCATTAGGCAGAAGATGCTATTTTGTCACTTTCATCGATTACTTTTCTAGACGTATTTAGATGTACACTATGAAGACGAAAGATAAAGTGCTTGGTGTTTTCCTTACTTAAAAGACACAAATTGAGAATCAGTTTAGAAGGAATATCAAGGTCCTATGAACGGGCAATTGTGGAGGATATACAAGTGATCTCTTTTAAAAGTTCATTTTAAAATGGCATTGTTACGTCACCATTGGATAGATACCACAACAAAATGGGGTGGTGGAGCGCATGAATCAAACCTTGGTGAAAAAAGTTTGATGTATGTTATCCAATGCATGTTTGGGCAAGGAGTACAAGGTTGAGGCTATAACATACGCGAAACACATCATCAGTTGATTATTGTCATCTGTAAAAGATGATAAAACACCATTGAAGGTATGGTCTGGGAAATCTGTTGCTGACAATGGATATTTACATGTTTTTAGGTGTCTTACGTACTATCATATGAATGATTCAAAGTTAGACACGAGTGAAAAAGACTTTGTCCATGGGAATCACCACTAGCGTGAATGGATATTGTAATTGGTGTCTTGAGTCGAACAAAACTATGTTTATTAGGGATGTCACATTTGATGAACAAAGAATGATGAAGATGACACATACCTAACAAGGTGAAGTTAACATCGAAACATGCAAAGATAGATGCAATGACGAGACAACCAACTAAGTCCATACCCAAATATCATTGGATCTATCCATTGCATCGAGAAAGCTCGAACGAGAGATTCAACAACCTGCTTGATTGATTAATATGGTGGCTTATGCATTTCCAATTATTGATTATGACATACCTTTCATTTTTCAAGATGCAATTCAAAGTTTATAAAATGAGAAGTGGAGATAGGCTATGGAGGAAGAAATATTGTCTCTCTAAAATAATCAAACTTGGAAGGTGATGAATCTACCTAAATGCCAGAGGGCGATAGACTGTAGGTGAATATTTACAAAGAAATATGGGTTTCCTTACAGGAAGAATGTGTGCTACAAGACAAGATTGATGGCTAAAGACTACGCTCAGAATGAAGAAGTTGATTATAATAAAGTGTTTTCTCGAGTTTTATGCACTCTTCCATAACAATTTTGTTGGTCTTAGCAGCACAACTGAATTTGATTATAATAAAGTGTTTTCTACAACAAAGGCATAATGTATGACAGTTATTGAAGTTGTGAAGAAGACAATTTGGCTTGAAAGTTATCTTGAAGACTAGTGAGTTGGTCATGCTCATAAAGTTCTTTAGTGAAGAATCAAGTACTTCGTGCTTGAACAAAGCATACTGATGTTCGTGTCACCTTGTACGGGTAATTCTGGAAAATGAAAATGTTGTTTGAAAAAGAATCAAGACAATGGAGAATCCTGTAGATATTATGACAAATGTAGTGACAACAGCCATGTTGAACATTGTTTAAATTTGAATAACACTCTGCATATTTGATGGTGTCGAAAGGCACAGTTGGAGGCACCACAGACAACTAGATAGATGAGTTGAAGTGGGAGCAAAATTAGTTAAGGTGGATAATTGTTAGCACGTAGGATCTTTTTAGTGTTGATATGGGAGATAACCTCAGACTGAGCTAACGTAACTATGACTCGAGCCGGGTATCGACCCCTTACCCAAAGGACCAGGTATCTACCTCTTACACAAAGACCGGGTATCAGTCACACGCCTATAGACCGGGTATCGACCTCTCACATAAGAGTCAAGTATCGACCCCATACCTGTAAACGGGGTATCGACCTCCTATACCTAGCATTACCCAAAAGACCAGGGTCAAGCTTTATGGACATAAATAAAACCGTTGGACAATAACCAGTCCTGAAAATAACGAGGTACCCGTACATATATATATATTGGTACATTAACTGCGAAGGTGAGGAACATTTTATTATTCAACAACCACAATACGTCTACTGTTCATCTTCTTCCTAAATCTCTCTATTCTAACTTAAGCTTCGGAGGGTTTTGACGCCGGAAAACCTCCGGCGTCCCTTTGCAGGTACTTGCGAGCTCCGACTCTAGCCGGAGACCAGACGAGAAGGCCATATCTCTAAACCCAGGACCGTTCTAGACCGGAGCCACTCACACAAGGCCTTATCAAGTGTAAATATGTCTCTTGTCTTTTGGTTACAGTTGCAACTTATTCTCTTCTAATC